TGGGGTTGTTGGTTTTTTCTTGTAGATTAATTGAAGTTTTGCATAGATCCTGGTTATTAGACTTTTGTCAGATTCAAAATATGCAAATATCCTTTCCCATTGAGTAGGTTGTCTATTTGCTCTGGTTATTGTCTCCTTTGCTGTACAGAAACTTTTCAGTTTCATAAGATTCCATTTGTTTAGTATTGCTGTTGTTGCTATTGCCATGGCGGTCTTCCTCATAAAGTCTTTCCTCAGGCCAATATCTTCCAGTGTTTTCCAAATTGTTTCTTTGAGGACTTTTATTGTTTCATGCCTTAGATTTAAGTGCTTTATCCATCTTGAATCAATTTTTGTGAGTGGAGAAAGGTGCAAGTCCAGTTTCAGTACATGTAGATATCCAATTCTCCCAGCACCATTTATTAAATAGGGAGTCTTTCGCCCCAGTGAATGCTCTTGTTTGGTTTATCAAAGATTAGGTGGCTGTAAGTTGTTGGTTTCATTTGCAGGTTTTCTATTCAATTCCAAATATCTATGTCTCTATTTTTGTGCCAAAACCATATTGCCTTGACCACTATGGCCTTGTAGTATAGCCTAAAATCTGGTAAAGTAATACCTCTGGCTTTGTTTTTCTTACTAAGGACTGCCTTAGCTATATGGTTTTTTTTCTGATTCCATACGAAATGCAGAATAATTTTTTTCCAAATCTTGAAAGTAAGATGCTGGTATTTTAATAGGGATGGCATTGAATTGGTAAATTATTTTGGGAAGTATAGACATTTTAACAATATTGATTCTTCCAAGCCATGAACATGGTATGTTCCTCCATTTATTGATGTTCTCTGCTATTTCCTTTCTTAGGGTTTCATAATTTTCTTTATAGAGGTACTTTACCTCTTTTGTAAGGTATATTTTTAAGTTTTTCATTATCTTTGGGACTATGGTGAAGGGAGTTATATCCTTAATTAACTTCTCCTCTTGGCTATTGTTGGTGTATACAAAGGCAAGTGACTTGTGGACACTGATTTTATATCCTGCAACATTACTGTATTTTTTGATGACTTCCAAGAGTCTTGTGGTTGAATCTTTGGGGTTCTCCAGGTATAAGGTCATATTGTCAGCAAAAAGGGAGAGTGTAACCTCATCTGCTCCCATTTGGATACACTTGTCTTGTGTAATTGTATTGGCTAAAACTTTCAGCACAATATTGAATAGTAATGGTGACAGGACAACCTTGTCTGGTTCCAGTTCTAAGAGGAAAAGCTTTCGGTTTTACTCTGTTCAGTAAAATACTGGCTGTGGGTTTGTCATAAATAGCTTTGATCAATTTAAGAAATGTACCACCTATGCCTATACTCCTCAATATTCTAATTAAAAAAGGATGATGAATTTTATCAAATGCTTTTTCAGCATCTGTTGAAATGATCATGTAGTCTTTGGTTTTACTTCTGTTGATATGGTGAATAACATTTATAGATTTGCGTATATTAAACCAGGCTTGCTTCCCAGGGATGAAACCTACTTGATTCTGATGTGTAACTTTTTTGATGATAAGCTGTAATCTATTGGCTAAAATTTTATTGAGAATTTTTGCATCTGTATTCACAAGTGAAATTGGTCTGAAATTCTCCTTTTTAGTTGGGTCTTTACCTGGTTTTAGAATCAAGGTGATGTTTGCTTCATAGAACGTGTTGGGGAAGATTCTTTCCTCTTCAATCTTTTGGAATAATTTCTGCAGTATAGGAGTAAGCTCTTCCTTGAAGGTTTGGGGGAAGAGAAGATCAGACAGAGAAGGATCGAGGGGATGTAGGCAAAAAAAAAAAAAAAAGACTAATTCTCACACAAACTGGATTTAATTTTGATCAACATAATTACTTAAACATCAATTTTTAATTCAACATGTCAATATGTTGTTTATCAATTGTATCCTTATTTACCAGTGAAATATGTCTGTAATTTCCCCTTTATAATAATATATTTTTTCTAATTTTACTATCAAGGGTATCCAGACTAGGTAGAATGATTTTGAAGTATTTCTATTTCTACTGTCTATAAGACTTGGCGTGATCTGTTTTCTTTTTTTTTTTTAGCAATTATTTTTTACTTTTATTTATATATATTAGTCATCTTTCTTTTAGACTTTGGTAAAATCATAATGAGGAAAAAATTTTTTTGCTATTTGTATTTTGTCTTGTGTATTCTGTAAAAAACAAGTAGTAAATGATTATGTATTCAAAAAAAATTGCATAGTTCTTGTTAAAGCTATATTGATAGGTACTTTCTATTTTGATTGCTGATATAATGCTGTCTTTCTTTTTCTAATATTATTTTGTAATTCTTTTTTATATAGGAATATAATTGATTTTGTATAGTTATTTTGAAGTTAGCTATATTGCTGAATTTTCTATTGTTTTTGGTAACTTGGTAGCTCGGAAGTAATGAAATTTGTATTTTTTTCTTTTTTACAAACTATTGGGATTTTTAAGTTATCATAATTATACTAGCTAGGATCTTCAACTTTACTAGGAGTTGTGGTAATGAGTACACTTATCTCATAATTGATTTGTAGAGAATGCTTTTGTTTCCTCATAAAATTGATATATTTGTCCCAATGTTATCTTCAATGATTATGTCAATGTTTTGCCTATAGTTGATGTCTGTAAATATTCATGGAATAAAGGAGCCTGAAATAAAAAACAAACAAAAAAAAATTTATTTTGATGTGTGACAAAAATTGAGAAAAACTGTTTTCTTAGCCCATCTAGTAAATTAGGACACCAATACTTTCTTAAAGGATCCTATAGTTAAATATAATTTTATGACACATTATTAATTTTAGATTCACCTGTAAACTAGTGAGTAATTCTGGTCTATGGGATATTTAATTAGTCATTTTAATTTGTGAGTTTAATTGGGAAAAATTTTTGTAACCTTGTGGTATGTTTTAGTGGAGTGAATATTGTCATCCCTTTCCTTCTAAACCTTTGGTCTAGTCCATTTTATTTACTTTTCTTAATTTTCTTTAGAAATAATTTGCTAAGCTCTCTTTCATTTGTGTTAATATTTACCAATATATTTTTGCCTTTATTTAGGATTGGTCTTCTGTATCTCATTAATTTTCCAGATGGGACTGTGATAACTAATATTTTGACAGCTTTGTTTTTTATTGACCTAATTCCTATGTCTTCTCACACACAAACCCATGTGAAATTTCCTCAGCTTAAGATTTATTTCATGATGTATTATTCTTTAATATTTTTTAAATAAAATGAAATAATGAATATAACATTCTTGGTTAAATGTCAGTGATAATGGTGATGGTGATTTAAAAACTTCGTTGGAACAAGTTAACTGCTCCAGGGAAACCCAAAGTCTACTACATCTAGGACCCATATTTTCTATGTTAATATACATTCCTTCTACTTTTTAAGGTACTTTGGATTTCCAGATTGATTAGGATTCTCTACATGGCATCACCCAGCAACCACTCCACTGGCCTCATCTCTGAATTTTTCCTCATCTGCTTCCCCAACTTCCAGAGTTGGCAGCACTGGCTGTCCCTGCCCCTCAGTCTTCTCTTCCTCCTGGCTATGGTGGCCAACACCACCCTCCTGATCACCATCTGGTTGGAGGCTGCTCTGCACCAGCCCATGTACTACCTGCTCAGCCTCCTCTCCCTGCTGGACATGGTACTCTGCCTCACCGTCATCCCCAAGGTCCTGGCCATCTTCTGGTTTGACGTCAGGTCTATCAGCTTTTCTGCCTGCTTTCTTCAGATGTTCATCATGAACAGTTTCCTGACCATGGAGTCTTGTACATTCATGGTCATGGCCTATGACCGCTATGTGGCCATCTGCCATCCCCTGCGGTACCCATCCATCATCACTGAGCAGTTCGTGGTTAGGGCTGCCATCTTTGTTGTGGCCCGAAATGGACTTCTTACTATCCCTATCCCCATCCTTTCTTCCCGACTCAGGTATTGTGCAGGGAACGTCATTAACAATTGCATCTGCACTAACCTGTCTGTTTCCAAACTCTCTTGTGAAGACATCACTTTTAACAGGCTCTACCAGTTTGCGGTAGGCTGGACCCTGCTGGGCTCTGACCTCATCCTTATTGTTCTCTCTTATTCCTTTATCTTGAAAGTTGTACTAAGGATCAAGGCTGAGGGTGCTGTGGCCAAAGCCCTGAATACCTGTGGTTCCCATTTCATTCTAATTCTGTTCTTCAGCACAGTCCTACTGGTTCTGGTGATCACCAACCTGACCAGGAAGAGAATTCCCCCAGATTTCCCCATCCTGCTCAACATCCTGCACCACCTCATCCCTCCAGCTCTGAATCCCATTGTTTATGGTGTGAGAACCAAGGAGATCAGGCAGGGAATACAGAAACTGCTGAGAAATTTGTAAGAAGTACAATGATTGAGACCTGAACTTGGAAACAGTAATTGATAATGGGTTTTAATTTTAATGATTAATAGAAAATTTAAAACTTCTGCAGGAATAATTTTAGTTTTTGTTTTCTTCAGTGTTTCAGTTGATTATGGAGATCTCAAAATCTTGGCTTCTGCTTTTCATTGCACTGAATTGAGCCCTATTTTTTTTGTATTCTGGAATTACCTGGAAGTTATTCCAGTGTTTATCTAGTGATAGAAAATTGTTAAGCTATAATTATAGGACCTTAGAGTGTTATGATTTGTGAATTAAAGAAGAAATGTTATTACAGTTATTTTAAGTAAAGCTTTTCAATCTCCTGACTTGTTTATTATGCACATACATATAGATGTATGTGTTTGAGCTCTTGTTTCTCCCTGACAAAACTCCCCCTGGTTTGTACTATGAATGGATCTCTTGTGAAGATATATGCGCAATATGTGACAAATCTAGAACTTTGATTCTTATGTGGAGTGAATGAAATGTGCCATTCACTTCCTGCTCTATCTCTAGAGATCTTGTTAATTTTCTTATCTAATGTTACTACTCCAGAGTAAGAATTTCCTTTAGTTATTTACTTCTTCCTTATGATTTAAAAAATTTTTAAGGCAATTCATATCTAGGGGTATGTTTTGTTTTAAGTGAAACTCTATGTCTTTTTTAAGTTTTCAGATATACTTTATCAACATCTGACTTCATGCTATTTTATTTATACCTGACTTTTCCATCAAATTTTCACACCATCCTATATTCCTACCCTTTCCTGATTATCTTAGATATATAGCTAAATTATCTTTCCCATCCTAAATTCAGCTCTGTTGTGGCAATCTTCACATCCTGTCCTAGTGCCAGTATAGGTTCCCATTGGATCCAGGCACTTCTAAATTAGTGAGTTTATTGAACAAGGATAAGTTGTTTCACTCTTTACATTTTTCTATCCTGATCATGCTCTGGAAATAGTGTGGAGTAGATGTTGACTATTTCCTAGTAAATGTATTGTTACTAGGAAATGTATTTTCCTAGTAAATGTATTGATTTACATTAGTACTCAGGCCCCCTTTTGGAAGGTAGGTAATTGAGAACTTCATCAATAATATAAGAGTCATTGGAGAATGTCTCCTAATACAGCTAATATATGATGAATTAATTATTATTGGAAGACTGATAGCCTGATTTATCAGTTTTAGTATTATATTTTATCAAAATAATAACTTTTATCTTTCTCTTCTCCATTTTACAACTTCAAAGACCAATCCTACCATATTACAAAGTTTATCAAATATTTTTCCATTCAGTCATCTTTCTAGTCAGCTCATAGCTCAGTTTTCCAGGTTATGCCCCTCATTTTTTCTTAAAATGTATGCTCAATGATCTTCTGTCATATAGAAAACTAATACTAATCTCTTCATTTGAAAAGCTATGGCTATCCTACAAGTCTCAGTTTAAACTACACAATGTCTTCCTTTCTCACCCAAGAAATTAATCTGACTATCTTGAGTCATGTGTATATATCCTTTTGATACTAGATTATAAACTCCTCTGAGTGTGGTAAAGAGTTTTCTTCATCTTTTTAATTTTATATATTTTACAGATACAAATAAAATATTTTACATATTTTAATTACTTTGGGTAAATAAAAGTGAATTATATATGCACATCATGGTGCTAGGAAACCTGTATATCCACATGCAGAAAACTTAAACTAGGTGCCTATCTCCTGCCATATACAAAATCAAATCAAAATGAATTAAAGACCTAAATGTAAGACGTGACACTGTGAAATTATTTAAAAAGAATTTTGGGGACTGCTTCAGGACATTGGTCTAGGAAAAAACTTCTTGAGAAGTACCCCCAAAGCATAGGCAACTAAAGCAAAATTGTACAAATGAGGTGACATCAAGCTAAAAACATTCTGCACAGCAATAGAAACAACCAAGAAAATAAAGAGACAATCCATAGAAAGGGGGAAAATATTTCCTACCTACTCATCTTACAAGGAACAGATAACTAGAATATATAAGGAGCTCCAGATACTTAAAAAGAAAAAATTAAATGATCTGATTAAACAATGGACAAAGAATATGAATAGACATTTCTCAAAAGAAGACATTCAAATAACCAACAACTATATGAAAAAATGCTCAGCATCATTAGTCATCATAAAATGAAAATCAAAGATAACATCTCATTGATATCTCCCCCCATCAACAGATGAATAGGTAAAAAAAATTGTGACACATATATATACACAATAGAATGTTATATAGCTGCAATAAGAATGAAATGACTTTTGTGAAAAAGATAAACAATAACAAATGCTGGTAAGGATGTGGAGAAGAGGGAACACTTGTATGCGATTGGTGGGAATGTGTATTAGTGCAGTCACTACAGTAGGAAGGACGGTTCCTCACAAAGCTAAAAATAGAGTCATCATATCACCCAGCGATCTAATTGGTGGGTATGTATCCACAGGAGAAAAATTCAGTATATTGAAAAGATATCTGCACTCCCATGGTTATTGTAGTACTATTTACAATAGCCAAGATTTGGAATCACCCTAAGCACCCATCAATGGATGAATAGATAAAAAATTTGTGGTACATATATATACACAATGGAATATTATATAGCCATAATAAGAATGAAATCCTTTCATTTCTAACATCATAGATGTATAGAACTGGAGGATATTAGGTTAAGTAAAATAAGCCAAGCACAAAAAGACAAATCTTGCATGTTCTTACTCATATGTGGGAATCAAATATTAAAATAATTTGTCTTATGGATATAGAGAATAATATGATGGTTACCAGAAGCTGAAAAGGGTAGCAGGGAAGGGGGGTAATCTGGGTATGGCCAATGGATGCAAAAATATAGTTATATAGTTGGAAAGAATGAACAATACAGTAGAACCTCCATGGAGTTGACCACCTCCTTATATTGAATAACTCCTTAAATTGACCTGAATTTCAAAGATTGGACATGCCCCTCATCAGTATAGAAGGCCTAATCCTGTATGTTGGCCACCTTCATATGTTGACCAGTTTGTTATAGTACCTTGGGTAGTCAACTCACAGATGTTCTACTGTATTTGACAGCAAACAAAATGAATATAATGAACAATAAGTTAGGGAATATTTTGAAATACTTAAATGAGAATGTTCCATGGACTGATGAGAAGAATGCATATTCTTTAGCTTTGGAATAGAGTGTTCTATATAGGTCTGTCAAACACAGTTGTTTGAGGGTCACAATTAAGTCCCTTGTATCTTTGTTTAGTTTCTGTTTATAGGATCTGTCCAGTTCTATAAGAGGAATGTTAAAGTCCCCTATAATTTTGGTGTTATGGGATATCATATTGCTCACACTAATTAAAGTTTGTTCCAGAGATCTGGGAGCATTTAAGTCAAGTTCATGGAAATTAAACAACCTTATGCTGAATCACAGTTGGGTGCTGGAAGAGATAAAAGAGGAAATCACTAACTTCTTTGAGAATAACAACAATGAAGACACAAGCTGCTAAAACCTGTGGGATACAGCAAAAGCAGTCCTGAGAGAAAAATTTATTGCTTTAGATGCCTACATCTAAAAAATGGAAAGAGAGCACATCAAAAAACTCACAAACTATCTTATGGAACTGGAAAAAGAAGAATAATCTCAGCTTAAACCCAGTAGAAGAAAAGATACATCTAAAATTAAATCAGAGATTAATGAAATTGAAAACAAAAAATCATTCAGAAAATTAATGAAACTAGGAGTTGGTTTCTTGAAAAAAAATAGATAAACCTTTGGCCAGACTAACTAGAAATAGAAAAGTAAAATCTCTAGTAACTTCAATCAGAAATGATAAAGGGAAAATAACAATTGATGCCACAGAGATACAAGAGATTATCTATGAATACTACCAGAAACTCTATGCCCAGAAATTTGACAATGTGAAGGAAATGGATCAATATTTGGAATCACACCCTCTTCCTATACTTAGCCCAGATGAAATAGATCTCCGAACAGACGAATTTCAAGCACCGAGATCAAAGAAACAGTAAAAATTTCCCAAGAAAAAAATGTCCAGGTCTAGATGGCTTCACACCAGAATTCTATCAATTCTTCAAAGAAGAGTTTATTCCCATACTGCAGAAATTATTCCAAAAAATTGGGGAGGGAGGAATCTTCCCCAACATGTTCTATGAAGCAAACATCGCCCTAATACCAAAACCAGGAGAAGATCCAACTATCAAGGAGAATTTCAGACCAATTTCACTAATGAATTTACATGCAAAAATTCTCAACAAAATCCTAGCTAATAGATTACAGCTTATCATCAAAAAGTCATACACCATGACTGAGTATTTTTCATCCCAGGAATGTCATGCTGGTTTTGACACGCAAGTCCAGAAATATAATTCACTGTAACAACAGATGCAGAAACAAAGACCATGTGATCCTCTCAATAGATGCAGAAAAAGCATTTGATAAAATCCAGCATCCTTTTCTAATTAGAACAGTGAAGAGTATAGGCATAGGTGGCACATTTCTTAAATTGATCGAAGCCATTGATGGCAAACCCACAGCTCATATTTTACTGAATGGAGTAAAACAAAAGTTTTTCCACTTAGAACTGGAACCAGACAAGGTTGTCCTCTGTCACCATTACTATTCAACATAGTGCTGGAAGTTCTAGCCAATACAATTAGGCATGAGAAGGAAATAAAGGGCATCCAAATGGGAGAAGAGGAGGTAAAACTCTTATTCTTTATTAATGATATGATCTTATACTTAGAGAACCCCAAAGGCTCAACCACAAGACTCCTGGAAGTGATCAAAAGATACAGTAATGTCTCAGGATATAAAATCAATGTCTGCAAATCTTCCTATATGCCAGTAGCAACCAACACGAGAAGCTTATTAAGGACACAATTCCCTTCATAGTAGCTTCAAAGAAAATGAAATACCTAGGAATATACCTAACAAAAGAG